CAAGTCTCCGTGAGCAGCTGGAGCATCGCGCAGGCGCTAAGACGCATGCGTGAACTGCGCGCATGCACGAGGACGCCGCCGGCCCCGTTCCAACCGAACCGGTTGGAACGGGATTAGCAACCCACCCCTGCAACCAACCATCCAGAAACAAAGAAAAATTTTGATCTGCTCAATGTAATATGAAAAAAGATGGAGCACTATACAGAAATGTTATTAGTTTTATATGATAGTTAAAAATCTACATACCTGTTTGTGTACAATTCAAACTGTTAATAAATGTTGTTGACTAAACAAGGAGTAGGACTAAATACTGTTAATAAAAATCTATAAAGACTGAAAATAAACAATCTTGTTCTTTTTTCATTTTTCCCCTCATATAGTTCTATAATTCATATTGAACTCCCATATACTCAGCTGCAAAGTATCTAGTTCCCAATACATTTTTCTCTAACAAAGCAAATGTCTCCAGCTGCTTGTCCAAATGGCTTCCAAGCTTTACAGCTAAAGTACTGAATTAATCCAGGTAGCTGAATGGGTAATTGTGTCCTGTATTGATCTATCCAGAAGAGTTTGTAGCTACCACAGCAATCTCTACCTTAGATGCCAACTGAACTTTGGAAGAGAGCAAAATGGTTGAAGATTGAAATTCCTAGTAGCGTACGAAGTTAAAACCGACCCTTCTCCTAGAAAAATGAAATATGCTGGGAAATATTGAAAAGGCAGAATATTATATTTCCCTGGCCAAGAAATGGAGAAACATGTTTTAGGAAGTAAACAGACTCACTCTTAATAGCCCCCACCTTTGTCAATGGGCCATTAAAAGGGCTGAGTCAGTCTATTCTACATAACACAGATCTCCCCCTTCAGCTCCAGGGTGATGGGATTAAGGCATGATAGTATTAGCCCTTTACCCATCTCACAGGGCATCTGAGAAGAAGCAATGCTCAACCAAACTTGGACTCAAAACACAGCCTACAGAGTTGCTCCTGCATGATCCCATGGCAATCTGGCAACCAATCAGAATACAAGCTCAGGTTCAAAGCCCAGAGAGGGCATAAAACCAGGGACTTTCAGCATCTCTGTCTTTTCTTTTTTTTCTTCACCCAACATCTTGAAGCATGTGATCACCTTTTCTGTTCAGGAACTCAAGCGTTGTGATCCTATCCACCATTACACCATCTTTCCAAGTAGCCTCCGAATTTCCAGTGTCTTTTTCCCCACTTGGAATTGAACCCAGAAGGACATTTCTTCCAACAGTAGGACACTTGCTTTGACCAGAAAAGGTAGCTTCAATCCCTAGCATTTTAGGTTGAAAGGATGATGCTAGAAGACTGCTGGTAGGTCACAGAAGGATGCTTCAGGTGGACAATGAGGTAATGAGGAATATAACAACTTATTCCTTTCCTACTGGAAACTCCAAAAATCCCTAGTGAGCTCTAGCCAATGTTTACACTTTGCTAGGGGTGGGGCCGCAAAGTTTCTGTGTAAATCTGGAGGAGGTAGTAATAGCCTTGGCAATTCCCTCACTATCACTTTCAATACCTCCTGTACTGTGGATGAGGAAACATGAAGTTTCACCTTATCCTCATCGCATTTGGGATTGTCCTAGTTCATCATATGTCTGACGGTAAGTCATTTCTAATGCAGTTTTTTTTTTTTTTTTTTACATTTGGGGGCCTTTGTGCAATGCAGTCTGCTATGTTCAGAAAAACAGTTAAGTCATGCAGTAGTCATAATTGTCATCTTTGAATGAATGATTTTGTTTTTAAATTTACCAGTGAGACAATGGAAGTCCATGTTCTATTCATAAAACCATAAACAGGACAACCACACTGAAAAATCCTTGAATTCTGAAGTCAGAAGTGGAAAAGTAGCAGTTTATAAAGGAAGCACAAGCTGTCAGTTATCAATCTGAATATGTATATCAGTGCAAATGTGCTAAAAATAAAGGTGCAGATATGTCTTCTTCAGTGGCAATTTCATATACAAAAATGTGACAAGTGGAAAAGGAAGCAAAGATCAGAGTATCTCCTCGATGTAGTAGTTTATTTATATATTTATTTTTAAAGATATTCTATAAGTCAATTAGATTTAAAAGAAACAGAAGCAGTGAGAGGTAGCAAATGTTACAAAAGAACAGCTGGGGATGGCTGTAGTTTAAGCCACCTATATTAAAAGCTCAAAATTCTTTAAAAGAAGTTATTTTAAGCACAGCCCTCCTTAAGATATTCTATTAGGTAAAATGAATGGATGTAGAAAGTTTTCTTTGAATTAAATCCTTCCTCCCTTACCCACAACACTGTCTAACATGTTTCTGTCTCGGCAGCATTGCCACATGAAGCAAACTCCTGCTAGATAGCACCATTTTACGTGTCCATGAAGCGAGGTGTGTTCCAAGAGCTTAAAGCAAAGTATTTCCTGCTGTTGCTTATTGTCCACCTGTGTCTTTTATGTGCCCAAATGATTAACCTTTCCTAACATTGTAAACAAGACCTGTGCTATAGAGCTGAATGATTTGAGAGGGGGGTGCATTAGGTTGTCTCTAGGGTGAAGACCTCTGGTGAACCCATATTTCCAATTAAGTTCTTTCTAAGTGTACAGACTAATCAAATTCATATATTGCCCCGCTATTAATAATGAGCATGACCTTCAGTAACTTTTAATGGAACTTCCTTTCAAATAAAGGTCATAAAATTCATTATCCTTAATTAATTAAGGAAATGTACAAGTGAAAATATAGCTTAGTGATAAAGGTGGATATTTAATCATTATTGCCTTTTCCTTCAGTGCATGGTGAATAAGGATGTAGTCCATAATATGCAAATCTTGTGTTTCCTTTGGCTGGCAAGCATCCATTATCGTAAACATGAAATATACAAGAGCCACCTGTTGGCTAAAAGAAAATAAAAGAATTCCTAAAATGCTGCAATATTCACAAACTGGTGGCTTTACTAGCTTGGGATTCTAGGAGTTGGATTACTTTATATCTGGAGACCATTGAGTTGGAGATGGCAAAAATAGGAAGAAAGCTTTCTTCAATACTCGTATTACTTCTTTTAAGTAAAGATGTATAAGATCAGGCTGTATGTATTTAATTGCACCTACATATCTCTCAAATATTTTTTTAGAATGATAGCTTTCTCACCTGATACTCATTAGTGACAGTTCTGAATGGTTCTTTTAAATAAAAGGCACAATGGGAAGATTTCAGTGTTGTTTGCTAAGATTCTTCTTTTATACATGTGCCTCTTAATTGGGTCTTTGACACTCCCAATCAAAACCTGGCATATCTGTATTTCAGAAACGTTCCTAATGTCAACTTAATAGTAGGGCTTGCCACAGCTCGACTCCCTGGTGTCTAAGAGCAACATTCTCAACTGATAGTGAATGCATGTTTTGGAATTTCACATGTTGTCTTGGAGTTTGTTAAAGAGAGATGCGACCTGGAACTAAGAAGAAATTTCCTGACAGCGAGAACAATTAACAAATGTTAACATTTGCCTCCTGGAGTTGTGGGAGCTCCATTCACTAGAGATTTTTAAGAAAAGATTGGATAGCCATTTCTCCAGGATGGTGAGGTTAAGGTCTCCTGCCTTGGCAGAGGTTTGCCTAGAAGACCTCCAAGGTCCCTTCTAGCCCTATGATTCTATGAGACAACAATGGGAAAACTGGCTTGGAAATATCAGCAATAATAATAATGAAAATTGTGACCTCATTAGAGAATTTCCACTAGGTCTAATGAGATTTTACATCTGAGAATCAAATTTAGAATTGCACTGAGAATAATAACCAACCCTAACCCTAAACATTTGTTCCCTGCTCTAGCAAGTATTAAAAGTTAGCACATAGCACAGTCCAGTTTCTAATGTGACTTCTGGATGTTAGCCAGTAAAACTTATGTCGTGAGTTCACTTAAAAATAAATTGCCATAATTATCCTGCACTCTGAATGCATAACTAATAGCCGGAAGACCAATCTTTGGTGTTTATTCTGAACCTAGATAACTGTAACTGTTTTAAATTCAATGTCTGTATATTTCTTAATATGTATCTCTTATTTTTCTGAATGTTTGCACAAACAATCAAACAAATGTTCTAATCTCACCTGCTACTGATAGTAAGATATGCTCAAGATTTTGCCACGCAGACTCCAACAATATGTGGGAAGAGAACTATTGGCTATGTAGATAAAGATTTAATAGAATAATAGAATTAGAAGGGACTTGAAGGTCTTCTAATCCAAACCCCTCCACACACACACCCCGCTCAAGCAGGAAACCCTAACCCTAACCCTATACCATTTCAGACAAATGGTTGTCCAATCTCTTCTTAAGTGATGGAGCACCCACAATTTCTAGAGGAAAGACGTTCCACTGATTAATTGTTCTGTTAGGAAATGTCTTAGTTCTAGGTTGGTTTTCTCCTTGTTTAATTTTCATCCATTGATTCTTGTCCTGCCTTCTGGTCTTTGGAGAATAGGTTGACCCCCTCTTCTTTGTAGCAATGCCTCAAATATGGAAACACTGGTATCATGTCACCCCTAGTCTTTTTTTTTTCACTAGACTAGACATACCCAATTACTGTAACTGTTTTTTCACATGTTTTAGTCTCATTTCCCCAAATCATTGTTATTGTTCTTCTCTGTACTCTTTTAACATTTTCTTTACATTATGGCAACCAAAACTGGATGCAATGATCCAAAAGTGGTCTTACCAAGGCATTATAAAGTGGTATTAACAGTTCACATGATCTTTTCTCTATCTCTCTGTTAATGCAGCCTAGAACTCTGTCAGATTTTTTGGCAGCTCAAATTCTCAGTCATTGGGGTAGAGTTGTCTGGAAGTTGAGTCACGGCAACAGGATTTTTTTTTGGGGGGGGGGGGTTGACACATTTTGCTGCTTATAGCAATAGCAATAGCAATAGCAGTANGGTGCGGGTATTTGCTTATGAATACAGCTATCTACCTCTTCATCTCTTAAGTGCTGACCTGCTGTGGGCTATTAAGGAAAGTGGGGGCTGCTTTCCAAGATCATGTTTCTCCATTTCTCAGCCAGGGAAATATAATATTCTGCCTTTTTAATATTTCTCAACATCTTCTAGGAGAGGTGTGGGTTCTAACTTTCTACACACACATCCCAGTATCCTCTTCCCCAAAAGACAAGCGAATAAATTGCTAGGCTTTCACCAATTTCTCCGCTTGTCAGGATAGCAAATCTTACTTGCTATCAAAACTGATATTGCTGGCACAATGGCAGATTTAACTTTAATTCAAGATCGCTAATAAAATTGGAAGCCAGGACCTAGATGATAAGCTGAGTCAACAATCTACTTCAGTGAATGTAAACACCAGGTCTTCAAGCACACAGGAAAGTGATATATTTTCATTCTGAACATATCAGTAGAAGAACATATTTGTAGCACAGGACTGAGCTGTGAGGTCCTGGGTGCCCTCTGAGTTTGGTTGTTTTCCTGAAGACATTTCATTACCCAACTAGGTAACATCCTTAATGCATCACTGATGATGCTACCTAGTAGGGTAATGAGACATTCTGAACATATCCCTGGCATAGGCATGCACTGAAATTTCTCACAAGTAGAAGGTCCCAGTTATGATATCATACAAACAATGGAGCAAGTTTCTCATTGCCATTATTGTGACTTTGGAGGAGAACTAACAGATTCAATGCACTTGGGTGATGCTGTCTTATTTATTAATTAATTAATTAATCAAATTTATACACCTCAATATCTAAGTGACTATGGGCAGTTTATAAGTAAAAAAGACTCACAAATTATCCTAGAGGACTGTGATGAATGAAAAAGGAGGGTTAAAGTATTTTAAACAATACATTGGACAATTCAAAATGCTGGACTGAGATCATTGCTACTGTGTTTCCCTGAAAATAAGACAGGGTCTTATTTTCTTTTGACCCCCCCCCCAAATAAGTGCTTGATTTTATTTTTGGGGAGGTCTTATTTTAGCACTGTGCTCAAAAGCCCGATTGGGCTTATTATCCAGGGAGGTCTTATTTTCAGGGAAACAGAGTAGTAGAATAGTAGTTTCAGTGAATTTACCAACTTAGAAACTGTTTCCTCGGAACTAAATCCCATTGCATTCAGTGGAGCTTGCTTCCAAGTAAATTAGGGTAGGATTATAGTGTCAGAGAATATTGTAGAAAGTTAGCACCCACCTCTCTCCTAGAAGAATGAAATATTTCGGGAACTATTAAAAAAGGCAGAATATTATATTTCCCCAAAGGAGAAACATAAAGGAGAAACATATTTTTCCAGATAGAAAGCAGCCCCCAACTTTCTTAATAGCCCTCAGCAGATGTCAGCACTTAAGAGATAAAGTGATAGCTAGCTCTATTCATAAGCAAATACACTCACCCAAGATGCAACAAAGGTAGGATTAATCCTCAGCCACAATAGGAATTGCCCAAAGCCCCTTCATTGCATCACCTCAGTTGCACCAGCCCAGCAGTTGAAACTTCAACCAAACCTAGCTCAGACAAACTCTTAGGATTTGTACAGGGTATCAATGGAGTCTGATAACAGCCAATAGAATATATGTTCTTGCACAGGAAGGGGAAGTTTAAGTGTAAAGCCCATGAGAAGGTATAAATA